ACACTTCTTGCTGGTAGTTCTTGTACCCGCGGATGATTTCCGTGCTCGGCCCATCATTGCCAGCCCCATCATTTAGTCGACCCTCGGTTCATTATCTAATGAGTATGCAGTGTGTCAGGGTGTCTGCAGCGCTCTGCCTTTGAAGTCAACAGTTTCTGTCACTTGTTTAGAGGTGGCCTTTTCAAGTYYCATCYGGCAATCTTGTCGCCAACGAAAAGAAGAAAAGCAAATTTATTGAAAGCTGAACAACCAGCTAATTTGTCTCTACTCTGAACAAATTGCCTCCAAGGGTGGGCTGGTGCTTAACCTGTCAAATGTCCTTTAAGTACATAAATCTCAAYAGAGCACTGACACATGCCACAGTGGAATAAAAGCACTTCCTTGTRAAGATTTTAAATACCAGAAAAGTTTAAAAAGCAACTTTATCATGTCTTACTGTACTCTTATTGCAAATTATAACTTTAAAATGGTGTTCTGACCATGGTTTTTGAAAAATTAGATCCTGCTTCCTACCTGTGAACCAACTCAGTCAAATCATATTCTTGGGATTCCATGAAGGTATGTATAATCCACACAGCCTTTCTTGTCTGGGTTTTAAACTAAAATTATCTTAAACTGAGAAGATTAGCTGTTTTATATTGCATTTGAAAAAAAAACTGTGTGCAATTTCATGCAACATACTTTGTAACTTTGTATTTTAGCTCAGTTAACTGCAAAAATTCAGAGTTGTAGCTATTTTTCTGCAAGCTAGATTAACTGTAGCCATCTTGAGTTGTTTTTTTTTTAACATATGTATTTCTTTTTTGTTATGTACAGCCAATTCACCTGCTTTGGATGTTATCAGTCCATTAAATGGACGTTATCAGCGGTTATCAATCCCTTAGAATGACTGTCAGCCATGAGGCATAAAGCCACTAAGGTTATTTATGCAGTCTGGTTAATATGAGGTATAAAGCCACTAAGGTTAATTTTAGAGAAAATGACCTGGGCTAGGTTAAAGTAGACCAGAGTYCRGCAGACTGTTGCCTTCCAATGAATTAGTAGGTAAACAATCTGAAGCCATTCTATGGGACTGGTAACCACAGATAACGTCCATTTAATGGACTGATAACATCCAAACCGGCTGGCCAATTACTGAAAGATTCAATAAATCTGTGTGATGGTTTTATGAGATATTTTGCTAACAGGCAAACAAAAGTTAACCCCAACGGTTAAAACTGGAATTTTAAACAAATATGTTGCAGAATATGTTGCATTGAATGTATGTGTTGTAAATGATTGTCAGCCACCACCACACTAAATTTTAGCTAACCTTTGGTAAATTATAACCCTTTATTTAGGTTTGCTGTTGCAACAATATTTTAAATCTGCATCCAGTGATAACTTTCTGTTACTTTTACCAAAATATCACATAAGTTTGTTACCAATTTAGACACATCCCACATAATAACTTACAATTTGTCTGTCCCAGTTCTGGCCCACACTCTTAATTCAACCTGGAGGGACTCACAAGAAGAAAGACTGAAATTAGGAAGTTTATTGACATGACTGACTTGCAGATTTATTGACATGAATGACATAGTTTGGTGCTTGGACCCCAGCAGAGCATGTGAGCGCTGTGAGATGCTGTAAGCTCAGATGAGCTGCTTAAGATAAGGGGTAGAAGTTTTTATCCCCCCCCCCCCCCACCCCCCGGGCCCGACACTGGTGGTGGAGGCCAAAGGAGAGGGAAGTCCTTGGAAGCCAGAAGATAAAGGGAGGAGGAGGGGAGGTGGAAGGTTGACGTTCGGCTGGAAAGCAGATTGAGTGATTGAAGAGGATGCGTTTATCCACCGACTGTCAAATGCTGATTGGATGAGGCTGGGCTTGTGATGCGGCTGCTGGATGGAGCAGGTGAGTTGATCAGTCTTCCAAGGTTGAACTTTCGTCTGGACTCCATAACTCACACCAGATACCACAAAGAGTGATGGTCCAGAGGTGGTCCATGTATGGGCCAGTACCAAATAATACTATCATTGCCAGACCTGTTCCATGTCCAATTGATAAATCACYTACCATGGCACCAGTGCCAGTTTGACACCAGATCTGACCCATACCTGTCTGCTATACATACAAGAGCAAAATTAATATTGCCCTAAAACATTGCTTCAGCAATTATTGTGGTACAGTCCTGTAAAAGCTCTGTGTCATCTGGTTGTTTGCAGTGTACAACAGAGGCCTGCCAGAGCTACACAATGGCGGAGTAGTTTACAAAGAAACCAAATGTTTTTTAATGTTCCAGCTGGACTCAGATAACAAAGCGCCATCAATATGGAACATAAATCAGAAGAGCTACCCATCATCCACTGGGGAGTGGCGTGGCTCCAACTCCATTTGTACATTTCGTGACCTTGGAACACATAATTGTTAGTCATCATCATTTTCTCTGTATAGAGTCCATCTTTATGTGTGTGTTTGTGAGTGTGTGTGTGTGTGTGTGTGTTTGTTTATTTTGCTTTCTGCTCCCAGTTGGTGAAGACTATGTTCAGTGTCATGGAAGACTTGGAGAGATATTAAATGAGGCTCGTATCATGCATCGCCTCATGCTCCCTCTGCACGTTGTGACCATGGATAAAAAATAAAAAATGAATTATCATACTGGCAGAGATGCAAATGCGAGGAACAACACAAACAAGATGCAAAAATAGAAAATCCTTTCCAACTTAGAAAGAAAGTAATGAATTAATAATTTTAAAAGACTGATTTTTTTGTGCGCAACAAGACAAAAGCCAGCTGCAAAATGTACTGTATCAAATATAAATGCAAATTTATACAAAAATAGGGGAAGAATGAAAGGGTTTAGCTAATGATGGAGGCAATATTAGGCCCAAACTGAGGAACTAAACCTCTGAGGGCAGAGGAAACAGAAGCACAAATGAATTGCATGCACACTGAATGCCTCGGTCTTCCTCTTTAATATGAGCCACAGGCAGTGTCCCTGACGTGCCTGCTCTGCTCCCATGTGAACAAGAGCCAAGCAGAGAGGATGAGGGATACAGCTCCATGCAATGATACTTTACATGTTCCTGTGAGTGCCAGCATGTCCGAATGAAATGAGCATGACAGGTCCTTCATTTCTCCTTACACTGTGCTGGGTCACTAAACTCACACACAATTCAGTATGCAACATGTGCCACCATTTAAGATCAGATAAATTTAAATGGGTGGGGGGGGGGGGGGGGGCTGAATAATTCACTCAGATAGTCAAAGCTCATTCTGTAACTGTCTGGTTTTCATCAGGACCAGGCTGATAACACGCTCAGGGAGGACAATGAGTCACACGCTGTGACTCATAGTTTACCGTTCGGCATAAACAAACACCCAATGTTGCACCTTTTAATAGCACAGCTTTTAATAATGAGGCTCTTGGTTAGTGCTTCAGGGTTTATTGATTTATATATCTCCTCCAGCTTCACAGATTCTAATTTTAGTCRTGCATTCAGATCTTTTGAAGTGAGGTTCTGTGGGGAGGTTTTGAACCATTAATATCTCACCTGCTGTAGATAGCGCTTTGAACAATCCCTGTTTGGAGGAACAGAGCTGAATTCTGACCAGACTAACAAGCTATGGCTAAACCAAACAGGACCAAGACCAAAGGGGATTGTTGCCAAGTGCATTCTTAAATAAATTTCATAAAGTTTGTGTGATTGCTGTTTTAAAAACCAGGTTGACATTACTAGCTTAAATCAGACAATCTATAAGACTTAATTGTCAACACTAAATATAAATTATTGAATATTTGTACTGCATTGTCTTTATTTTTAGCAGCAATGTTTTTTTTCTTTACCACGTCAGAGTTTGTTTAGTCTAGTTTCTTGCCCTCATTAATTTTGCATTTGTGTTGTATTTATAAGCTTTTTTATGGCCAGGGGACTAGATGGAAAATAGCCTTTTGGCTAAATCTGACTTTTAAACTTGTGAATTTCATATTTTATTGAATTTCACTGTTACTAGTCTGTTTACATGAAAGTTTGTGGTTAATAGCAAGCATGAGTATTAGTGACAGCAGCGACCTGGAAGAATGTGGTGCAGCAATTCAAATATAAATGGTTAACATTAGACAAAAAAATCAAGACATTACAGAGAAAATGCATTTTATAAGATGTAATAAATATGGTATCAAACAGTGAATTCACAATGATTTAAAGTAAAAATGCTGTGAGAGTAGCGAGTATTTGGAAAAGTTATGACAAAATATTGTTTAAAAAGAAGGATTTTTAGGCTCCGTCAGGAAAAATATCCTGTTTGTTGACTGCCCCAAAAAAGTAAAGAAATATAACTCAGACAAAAATAAATGCAWGACTGATATTTTTTCCCATAAGGCCTTCTGAGTTTTAATGCAAAACTGACTGCAATGTAAAGGTTAAAACAGCCTTTGTGTAAATGATTTTAAATCTTCTTAAAATGAAGATTTTTTTCAAATGACAGTTAGCTTGTCAATCTGATCAGAATCAATTATCTTCTTTCATTCTAAGGAAGTATCTACAGCAGGTAAAATACTTTATTTATAACCTTTCTACAGAAGATACTTTAAAGCAGATGACATATTTATTAAGGCTGTAACTGAGCACTTTAGAGAGTCTTTTTTTTTTTGATCAAGGTCTTTTTATAGAGAGTCTTTTTATGAGTTTTTTTTATATTATTTTAGAGAGACATACTTAAATAATGAGATATCCAAGAATAGAGAAGGTGCGAAGAAGCTCGAGTGATGGCAGAGAGGTGCAATCGATTTGTGCCAGGGGAAAAGTGCGAGGGAAGACAGAGCCACTAGTGTTTCAGACTATATCACTAACTCCCCGTTGCCTTGTCCCCCCTCCACCCCATCAGGCTCTTACAATAACAGCACTGTCAGATTAGGAAGAGCTGATGTAAGTTGGCATCAGGAGGATTTTTTGGTTTTCTGCCTGAATAACAACAGTTTGGAATGTCTCGTCTGCGTAAATCATTGATATTTTAGTGGGGAAAACATTTTTTTTCATCTTTTTTTTCCTGAGTAGGTAGGTCAGGTCTTTTTGAAGAGAGGGGGTGTATGTCAGTGTGATGCTCCAGTGAGCTGATTCTTTGTGCATGAAATGATTTGACATCCTCGCGACCACCGAGTGAGCCCGAACGCGCATTTCTCTGTTTGTCCGTCCAGGGAGGGAGAGTGAGAGTGAGAGAGAGCGAGAGAAAACAGAGAGAGAAAGAACGAGCGCGTCAGAGAGAGATACAGAGAGAGAATAAGCAACTTTGTTAGCAGGCACAGCCGTGTCTCCTCCGGCACAGCGTGTTGAAAGAGAAGCATTTGGCAGTTATGGTTGATCAGCGTTTCTGTCATCCTCTCTCAGTGACGGCGAATGGCGTTAGAACAGATCCTGCTTTTTTGAAGGACATTTTTTGAATCTTGTTTTGAAGGATTAAACATTAAAAGAATGCCTGAGCACTTGAAGACCCAACAGCTTCATCAATGTGCGTGAGGTATGTAACCAGGCAGGAATTAGAGTCATTATATGTAGGCTGTTTTATCTCTGATGATGCTTGAGTGAAACTGATGCAAAATTGCAGCAAACCTCCTGTAATTTGTTTAATTACATTATGAATGAGCACATGCAATATGGATCCCCCTCACATTGGGCAGAGCATTTATTTAAGGGAGTAAGTCTCACCTTGTTTTTTTTTTTTTTTTTTTTTTTTTTTTTTTTTTTTTTTTTGTATTTTAAATTGTTTGTTGAAGTTCCGTCTTTTTTTGTTTGAGCTGATTTCCAATAGTCAGCTGCACGAGCTGAACTTACTCCTGAGTTGCAGCAAATGCAACTCAAGCGTCCTGTGTGGAAGTTGCTGTCATCGCAACCTGTCTGATTGAYATCACAATGTGTGTCTTTTATTCTAGATGACACTGAGGATTCCTTAGCAGGACTGCACGCTTGGCCACCATTTGCAGGAAAATGCAGCTTTGGATTCCTTATGTTTTGCTAAGTGCAACATCAGTGTGCACTGTTGAGATGGCTGGCAATTATGGTGAAATATGTCAAGACCTGTGTGCCTGTGAGGAGCGAGAAGGGATCCTTACAGTCAGCTGCGAAAACAGAAGAATTGCAACGCTGTCAGCCATAAGCCCGGTGCACTCCTCCCAGTATCACCTGCTCCTCAGTGGAAATCTTTTGAAAAAGCTATCTGTCAATGATTTTGTTGAATACAAAGGACTGACAATCTTACATCTTGGGAATAATGAAATATCTGATGTTCAAGCGGGAGCATTTAATGGACTTCAGGGATTAAAACGATTACATCTGAACAATAACAGAATCGATGCCCTGAAGGAAGAGTTTTTCCTGGGTCTGGAAAGTTTGGAATACTTACAAATTGATTACAATTACATCAGTCATGTGGAGACGAATGCCTTCAGCAGACTTCGACATCTGGAGGTCCTGATTCTAAATGACAATTTGATCTCGAGTCTGCCTGTAAACATCTTCCAGAATGTTCCATTGACTCATTTAGACCTGAGGGGGAATCAGCTCAAAGTGCTGCCCTACACTGGTCTGCTGGAGCACATGAACAGCGTAGTGGAGTTACAGCTGGAGGAGAATCCGTGGAACTGCTCCTGTGAGCTGATTGCTCTTAAAACCTGGCTTGAAAGCATATCCTACACAGCCTTGGTTGGAGATGTTGTTTGCGAGTTCCCCTTTCGGCTTCACGGGAGGGACCTCGATGAGGTTTCAAAGCAGGAATTRTGCCCGAGGAGAGCCATMGCTGAATATGAAATGCCGCCTCCGCCGCATTTGAGCACTGATGCATACCGTAGGACCACGCCAGCTCTAGTTGCAGCCTCCTTCACCTCATCTGGAGTTGCAAGATCCTCGTCGAGACCCACTAAAGGGCCCCGGCAGTCAGCCAAACTGAAATCCAGACCCACTGCCCGCGTCCCGTCCAACAAGCCACAGAATTATGGTCAAATTGTTTCATATCAGACCAAATCTCCTGTGCCTTTAGACTGCCCGACTGCCTGCACCTGCAATCTGCAAATTTCAGACCTCGGCCTGAATGTGAACTGCCAGGAAAGAAAAATTGAACAAATATCTGATTTGAACCCAATGCCATACAATCCCAAAAAGATGTATCTCACAGGGAATTACATACCSGCAGTGCATCGATCAGATTTCACTGARGCAACCGGGTTAGATCTGCTTCATCTTGGTAACAATCGAATAGCTGATGTAGATGACAGAGCGTTCGGTGATTTAATACATCTAAGAAGACTTTATCTTAATGGTAATTTGATAGAACGTCTCACAGCTGATATGTTTTATGGATTAGAGAGCCTGCAGTTCTTATATTTAGAGTACAACGTAATTAAGGAGGTAACTGCTGATACTTTCCAGCATGTACCTAAACTTCAGCTTCTGTTTTTAAACAATAACCTCTTGAAAACATTACCAGAGGGTACATTTAATGGATTGACATTAGCTAGACTGAATCTTCGCAATAATCATCTACGTTATCTGCCAGTTGGGGGTGTACTAGATCAACTGACTGCGCTCGTACAAGTCGATTTGTATGAGAATCCCTGGGATTGCACTTGCAGTATTTTAGACTTGAGGATGTGGTTGGAGCAGCTTAGCACAGGAACCGTGGTGAACAATGTCATCTGTGGCTCCCCCAAGAAGCTGGCTGGGGAAGACATGAGATACATTAGGACAACTAATTTCTGCCCTAATAACTCTGATGTGCTTGTTTCCATGATTCCACCCTCGGAAGAATCGTTCCCGGGCAGCACCATCACTATAGAAATGTCCTTGGACTCTGACCCACAATACAGCACCATTCCTTTATCTGTGATGATCCTGGCTCTCCTCATCATGTTTATTTTGTCTGTGTTTGTGGCTGCCGGATTGTTTGTGGCAATGAGAAAGAGACGTCAGAAGACTCAGAACGAGCAGAATAACTCCATGAACGCTTGCATCAGCTCTCTGAACATGGAATACGGCCTTTACAAAAAGGGATCCATTCCCAAAGTCAGAACATCGGATGGACATGTATACGAGTACATCCCACCCCCAACAGAGTCCACATGCAGGACTGCTGCACAAACCCCTATGGACAGCAAATCAGTGGATGGCTTTCGAGACTTTGACGAGCTGAGTGGCGCTTTTCTGGGCAACTCGGATGAAGAGGCAGCCAGTAATGTGATAAGCTCAGAATACAGCGCCACCACTTCAGAACCTCTCAACAAGCCCTCCACCCCTTACCGAGATGATCAGCGCTACTACAGAGACGTACTTGAGCCTGACAAGAACAGACGCTACAGCAATACATTACCTTGCAGGCACGGAGCCCATTCATCAACTCAGTATACCTCAGACTTTGATGCAAGGCATCAATATGTGCATCCAGAGAGAATACAGCAAACAATACTCTATTGTACATCGCCGAGTTCTGTTTATGTGGAGCCTAACAGGAGTGAGTACTGGGAACTGAAAGCGAAACTCCACATYGACCCAGACTACCTGGAGGTTCTGGAAAAACGAACTACGTTCACGCAGTTTTAAGAGACTCGTCCTCCAGATGGTCAACGAGGATTAATGTGCATTATTTATTCATTTCAGTCATGACTCACAAAATGTTATGCATTTCTGGGAATCGTGGTTTACAAAGTGACGGATTATCGAAGGGTATTACTCATTTTTAAAGCAACACCTCACACTCTTTTGCTGCGTGGTTTGAAAGTTTAGTTTAAATGTGTAAAATGTGAAGCAGAAACAACAGATTCTGGGCTGTCATGACTCATCCAATCATTAAAGGGATCCTGGAGCTGTATTATTGACAATAATGTGAGATTGAGCTTTAACTCTAACATTAGATGCTGTTTTGTGAACCGTTCAGATGACCTGTTCTGTTTAACAGAAATACATGTGAAGCTAACATTTCTGTCCGTTTTTATACTTTAGAGGGGTTGGGGGTCTCATCGGGTGGAAAGAAAATCACAAATCACAGTTTAATGGCAAAGTAAATGATTTTACTTTGGCAGATTTGGAAGAAACTTTCATGAAAATGTAGTTGTACTACATAAACTCTAGAAGATCAGTGGCAATACCTCTAAACCTCCTCATCTGCAAACCAGCAGTTTTGAATTATGTTGATTCTCTAAGTTCAAAAATCCAACTCAAAAATATGTTGTTACCAGTAGAATACATTCAGTGCTGTTCTGAAAGGAAAAAAAATTAAAAAGTTTGTTTTATTTGTAGCTCTCACCTGTTTATTACAATTTGTACAAATGTAGTTTTTGCTATTTTACACAAACATGTAACTACATTTTCAATATATTCTTGTAACAACACCAAAGCAGTCTAAAAACTGAATTTAAAAAGAATATGCAAACTTGGATTCCCAAAGGGGAGCAACAAAACACAACTTTAAGTTATTTTAATTTTATACAACCTGTTTTTTTATTATTATATATCAGATTACATTTATAGCTGCATTACAACATTACAACAAATCAAAACTTTATGGCACAGTAAAAGTCGTAAGTCTCACAGAATTCCACCAAAGCGTGTAATGGACCTGTCGGCAAAATTCAAGATATCATGTCAGTGTCAAGCTGTTCTTTGATAAGGGTGCAAAGACTATACAATYTGCCCAGTCTTATCACAAAAAGAAAAGACAGAAGAAAAAATGGATAAAATGTCAAAATTGATGGTGCAAGTTTCTCATTCACCAAACGTTGTTTTTTAAATAAACCTCRTCCACTGAATTTAAATCCATACAACAGAAGTTAAATTGTGATCCAAATATAACAGATGTACAGTCCCCATCCCCCACCAAATAGCTAAATAAATAAAACAATCATTTCACATGTAACCAAAACCCCAGCCTTCTATAAAAAAGTCTTGTGTTTTATTTATTTGTTTCTTTATTCCCTAAATAGGAAATGAGATATGGTTGTTGATTAAGTTCATAATAATAATGTTTTTAGGGTTGTTTCATCCAGAATGACGTAAATTCAAGAAGCTTCACTCAAACTCCTACAAATAAAACCATCAATTTCTGAGACATTGAAATGTGTGATCCTGTTAAAAAGTTGTGTATTTAAAACAAATAAACAAACAAACAAGCACACACACACACACACACACACACACACACAC